CAGTTAGAAAGAGAAGCAAGATAAAAAATGAAAAAAAAATGAAAGGGGAAATAGAAAGGAGAGAAAACAAGTAAGATAAATGTGAGGCAGACAGAATAAACAAACAGAATCAATGCAAGAGATAAAAAATAAAATTAATAAAAAAGCCAGACCCAGAGAGGAGAAAATTCTGTGATCTCCTGCCAGCCATGGACCTCACATCATAGATAATTAATTAAATGGTATCACTCAATCCTAGATGGAGTTCCTGTAGTACCAAATCTGGAAGTAGAAATATCTAATATTAATAAAACTCTATGCTAGAAACTATGTTAAGAAATTAGTATACACTATCTCATTTAATCATTATTATTTGACTGATTTATTATTTGAATTTTCCAGATTAATTAAGGAGCTATTATTAGCATCAGCAACCTACCTAAAACTGTTATTATTGATGACATCAACTATAGCTCACAGTGATCCTATGCCTGTGTACAACAGAACTAAACACTGTCTGGTCCTACACTATCAGCATAATCATTGCTCTGTTTGAGCCCATTGTTGTAGCCACAGTGTCAATCCATCTTATTGAAGGTCCTCTCTTTTTGCTGACCCTCTATTTTACCTACCATAGCGTAGTGGTTACGAATCGGGCTGCGAACCTTAAGGTCAGCGGTTCGAAACTACCAGCCGCTCTGCGGGAGAAAGATGAGGCTTTCTACTCCCGTAAAGATTTACACCCTCGGAAACCCTGTACAGGGTCGCTATGGGTCGGACCCGACTCGATGGCACTTAACAACAACAACAATGTCCTCAAATGTGGACAATGAGGCCTAAACTTAGGGAACATTCTAATGATTAAGCTTGTGTTCTTTAGCACATCTGAGAGAATGGGAAGTAAGGAGAGGGAAAATGTTTGTTTGCTCCTTTTAACATATGTATTCATGAATGTATAAATATATTACATTCTCATTTATACCTATGTGGATATACTTATATCTCATTCCCACTGCCATCATGTTGATTCCAACCTTATGGGTCAGAGCAGAGCTTCATAGGGTTTCTGAGACTGTAAATCTATACTGGAGTAGACAGCTTCATTTTTCTCCCTTGGGTCAACAGTCCAACAATCAATCCACTGCATCAACAGGGCCTTATACATTCATCCATACTCAAATATGCTATTAAAATTTCCAGCAAAATCATTATTTATAAATAACATTATATATATCATTCAATTAGAAAAATATATCATTTCTCATATGTTGTTGTTGTTGTTGTTAAGTGCTGTCGAGTTGGTTCCGACCCAAAGCGACCTTGTACAGGGTTTCCAAGGCTGTAAATCTTTACGGGAGCAGAAATCCTCATCTTTCTCCCACGGAGTGGCTGGTAGTTTCAAACTGCTGACCTTAAGGTTTGCAGCCCGATTCGTAACCACTATGCTACCAGAGCTCCATCACTGCTTATATAACTTGACAATTATAATTGCAGAGAAGAAAGGGGACCATGATCTTTTGAACTGGCACTGACAGTACTATCACTATGGTACAAAGGGAGTCAGGGAGTCCAGTGGTAGTGATTTTGAATGGCTGTTTTGAAATCTTTGCAATGCTTGGGTCAATTTTCATAGACTTCTAACAACTAATCCTGCTTACAGCATTGTTTACAGGTTCTTTTCCTTTTCTCTTCTAGTCTCCCATCTATAAGACAAAGTTGGCCATGTTTCGCTCTGACTTACATCTTCCTATGATTCAAGTAGTAGGGATTTTGTATAGAGTTCTTACCAGGCCCTTCCAGGTTTGGAGTCACTTATTAGGCCTGGTTTACTTCCCAACACATTTGAGATTAATCTTATTTGTGATCCTATGTCCTTCAAGATACTACCATTTCTTTGTGGAGTAAAACTTGCTCCTTCCCATTCTCTCTCAGGATGAATTATTGCTCCTCATATCATTTCCTTTGCATTAACTCAGTTCAGTTACAGTGAATTCTATTATTTTTACCTGTCTCCCTTCCTAAGATGTGAGATCGGAAGGCCCAGATGACCATAGCAATTTGTGGTGTGAAGCAATGTACTGATGAGATGAGTCTTCAAAATAAGAATGACAAATGACTACCAGTAGTCATGGATTTTGAAATGGTATTTGTTGATTCAATCAAAGAATCCTCTTCAAAGCTTAGATAACACACTTGTTGCCCTTGTTGTTTGATGCTGTGGAGTTGGTTCCAAATTATAGCACAATAGAATGAAACACTGTCCAGTCCTGCTCCATCCTCACAATTGTTGTTATGTGTGAGCCTCTTGAGGCTGCAACGGTGTCAATTTATCTTGTTGGAGGACTTCCTCTTTTTCCCTGACCCTCTACTTTTGCAAATATAATATTCTTCTCCAGGGACCAATCCCATCTCCAGGGACCGATCCCATCTCCAGGGACATATGATAATATGTCCAAAGAGCAAGAGATGAAGTCTCACCTTCCTTATTTTTAAGGGACATTCTGGTTGTACTCTTTCTGAGACAAATTTGTTTGCTCTTCTGGGAATAAAATATACTTTCAATATTCAGTGTTCTTCACCAATACCACAATTCATATGCATCAATTCTTGTCTGGTCTTCCTTATACATTATTTAACTTTCACCTGCATATGAAGTGACTAAAACTACCATGACTTAGATATTGTTGTTTTGTTGTTGTTAGGTGCCATCGAGTGGGTACCTTCTCATAGCAACCTTATGCACAGCAGAACGAAACTTAGATATAGACGAAGGTAATAGAGTTTAAAAAGAGCAAAAGAGTAAAATTAAATAGAGAACAGAAAATATTAAATGAAGATCATTTTAAGGTTCTATTTCAACATGCAGTTAATGAGGAGGGAAAATACTGAAATTTTATGGTTAATAATGAAATTTATTAACATTTTTATTACCAGGAAAGTTAAGACCAATTTAATAAACCAAATAATTAGTGAAGTTTCTGGAAATTCTTTAGTGGTAAATTTTTGTGTCAATGTTATCAATTTGAAAGGTTAATATGAATTTGAAATGTTTTCAATATAAATGGAACAAATACTTACTCAAATGTTTGATAAGTGAGTTTTCTATTATGCTGTTGTTCAGTGTTGTCCAGTTAGTTCTGACACATAGTGACCCTGCATAGGGTTTCCAAGGAGCCGCTCATGCTGACCTTTCAGTTTTATACTTAATGTTAACATCCAAAACCTTAGCTTGACTGGAAACCCTCACTATTTATGCAACCTCCTTTCACAATATTCTCTGACTGTCCTTGGCATTTATGAGTACACAAAACTCACACTAATTGCCGTTTTCCTTCTATCTGGAAGGAACACATTTCCCTCCACTATAACCTTCATATTCCACTCTCCTTTCAGTCTACTGGTTCAAATACAGTTCCTAAAAATTAATTTCACTGACTTCTCAAAGTATCTTCATATAATACCACACCTAACTTTTCTTAATGACACTTATAATAGTATATAGTGGCAGATTTCAATGTATGATTATTTATTAAACATATCTTTTTCACTCTCCCTGGATGTTATAAGCTCCAAATTACTAAAAATACCTTACAGTCTGCTTATCAGTGGGCTGAATTCACATAAATGTTATATATTTTTCCCTGTAAGATAGAATAGGAACATCCATAACTAGAAAGGAGTGAGTCCTCCTTTTGACCTTCTGAGCATCTCGTGACAGAAAGCCACATAGATATATTCCACAACACTGGGAGTAAATGTCTTTTTAAATATATAAGTAGGGAATAAGAAAAGTAGGTTGGATTCATAAAATAATTACCATTTTTAAAGTACTTGCCAAAGTGGGAAACTGCTTCTAACATTCTTGTGTTTTATGAGGAAGCATTTATATATCTTTCATAAGAAAATGATTGAAGAAAACAGTGATTAACTTTTGACAGTTTTCTTTACAACAGATATATATTTCAAAGACTATACTTGACATATTGTGTGTGGTTAATCAATTCTTGGTGGTATTTTTTTCATGTTTTAATGTCACTGAAAAGTGTGCACATGTAGTTTTGTGTGCACTTTAGTTGAAAACTTATGGTAAGGCCAAGAAATTGCCAATGTCAAAGTCTTTTTGACTCAAAGAACTAGAGTTACAAAGCTAGGCAAATATGTATTTGAAAAACTTATAAAATTGCCTTATATAAGTCAGAGGGTTTTTCTTCTTCTTTTTTTTTCTTTTCATTTCTAATGTTAAAGAATATTTTGATGATCCCTTCAGGGTTTGAAAACTCCACTGAGTTAAACAAACAAACATATTCTTTGAAATTTGCAAGCACAGTCATATGCATTATTTAATTTTGTCACCATGACAACTGTTTAAAGAAGAGAGGATACAAAAACTGAGTCTTTTATGTTAAATGATTTGGTAGTAACCTTGTGAGTAAAAAGTGAACTTCACTTTTATTGACATGTTTTAATGTGAATACACAGGAGAAATGTGTTAGCTATGGACTTTGAGTCTTGGATTTTTAGTTAACTTGGTGGTGGTGTTGGTTGTTTGCCATTTAGTGGGTTCCAAGTCATAGCCATCCTGTGGTGGGTTTCCGAGGCTGTAAGTCTTTACCAGAAAAGAAAGTCACATCTTTCTCTGATGAAGTAGCTGGTGGATTCTAACTGCTGACTTTTCAGTTAGAAGTACAACATGTAGCGTACTGTGTCAGTAGAGCTCCTTAGCCATTTGTAAAATTGCTTAGTGATGTCACAGAGTCCTATCTTTGAGAATGGCATCTCTGTCATGAACCTATCCATGTGGATTGACAGTGTGCTGAGCTAAAAGTATGAGTATGATTGCTGCTGTTAAGTGCCATTGAGTCAGTTCCAACTCATAGCGATCTTGTATAGGGTTTCCAAGAAGCAATCAGTGAGTTTGAACAGCTGACCTTGTGGTTCAAACCAATCTTGCAGGCCAGTGCTTTTTCCCAAAGTGCCACACAGTATGAGTATGCCAGACTGTAATTCCAGGCTTTTCTCAGGACAGTGACCTGCTGGACCAGAGAAAATGCTGTTTCACCGTGCAATCTGAGTCTGGAGAGGACCTCTACTTTTCCGTGGAGCTCGACTGTGACCTCACACAGTGGGAGCGAGCCTTCCAAACTGCAACCTTCCTTGAAGTGGAGAGGATACAGGTGAGAGTCTGTGCAGTTTTAGGATTTATACCCCAGAGATAATGACCACCTCCACAGAGTTCTAATTTAAATTCAAATGGATGTAAAGCAAGTTATCTTGGTTTTGACCTCCTCAGATACATTCAATAATTAGTATGAGAGTTAGTTCAAAATATATTGCTACAAGGGTTCCAGTTCATTAACATACTAGTTTGTTCCAAATGAAACTTGTTTAAACATGTCTCTGAAATTTAGTGGGTTTAGTTTTTGACTGGAAGACAGATACTCTTAGCAATACACTTGTCTTAGTCTGATTGGTGGTGGTGGTGGTTATGTGCCATGGAGTCGGTTACAACTCATAGCGACCCTGTATAGGGTTTCTGAGGCTGTAAATCTTTACAGGAGCAGAAAATCTCATCTTTGTACCATGGAGCCACTGGTAGTTTCAAACTGCTGTCCTTGAAATTAGCAGCTCAACTCATAACATTATGCTACCAGAGCTCCTTTAATCTAATTGTTGTTGTTGTTAAGTGCCGTCAAGTTGATTCTGACCCATAGCAACCCTGTATAGGCTTTCCAAGGAACAGCTGGTGAGCTTGAACCACCGACCTTGCAGTTCAAATGACTTTGCAATCTGATGCATTAGCCCACAGCGCCACACCAGGACTCCTTAATCTGATTGTTGTTGTTGTTAAGTGACATCGAGTCAGTTCCAACTCATAGCGACCCTGTATAGGGTTTCCAAGGAGCAGCTGGTGAGCTTGAACTGCCAACCTTATACTTCAAATGGCTTTGCAGTCTGGAGCATTAACCCACAGCACCACACCAGCACTCCTTAATCTGATTGTTATTGTTGTTATGTGCTTTGGAGTCGGTTCCAACTCATAGTGACCCTTTACAGGGTTTCCAAGGCTGTAAATCTTTACAGGAGAAGAAAACCTCATGTTTCTCCTATGGAACAGCTGGTAGTTTAGAACTGCTGACTGTGAGATTAGTAACCTGATTCATAACCACTATGCTACCAGAGCTCCTTGTTGTTGTTGTTGTTGTTGGGTGCCATCGAGTTAGTGCCGACTCATAGCAACCTTATGCACAGCAGAACAAAACACTGCCCGATCCTGGACCAATCTCACTACTGTTACCATGCTTGAGTCCATTGATGCTGCCACTTAGCCAATCTATCTCATTGGGAGTTTTCCTCTTTTTCTCTGACCCTCCACCTTACCAAACATGATCTCTTTCTCCAGCCTTAAAATATGTTCAGTCAAAACTGTGATTTCCAAGAGAATCTACTAGGCCAGTTAAATTTAAGACAGAGAGGTCAAGTCAGAAAGTAATGGAGATTGTTGTTTGGGATTCCAAAGGGGTAATCTTGATTTTCTGGATGGGCACAGAATGATCATAGGGCTTATTAGGAAGAAGTTTTGTTATTGTTAGGTGCCATCGAGTCAGTTTTGACTCAGAGCTAACCTACGCACAAAAGAATGAAACACTGCTCAGTGCAGTGCTATCTTCGCAGTTGTCGCTGTGTCCATTCACTGAGAGCCTTCTTCTTTTACACTGACTCTCCAATTCTCCAAGCATGCTGTCCTCCTCCAGGCACTGGCCCTCCTGACAACATGCCCAAAGTACAAAGAAAACAATTTTAAGAAAATAGAAAACTGCAAAGATGTGAAAGAGGCCACAAAAGTTTTGTAAAATGTATATATTTGCTATTACTACCATACACCTGATCATACTTTGAGAGTACCAAAACTGTTAGGAGAATTTTGTTGGAAAAACTTAGCCCATGCACCCTACAACCCTCATCTTGCCCCTTAAGGCTTCTCTTTGTTCTCAACTAAAAAAACACTGAAAAGGAATACAGTTTGAGTTCCTTGAGAATACCAACACTGCTGTTCATTTTGAGGTAGTCTAAGTTGTTGTTAAGTGCCATCGAGGCTGAGGCAGTTCCAACTCACAAGGACCTTGTATAGGGTTTCCGGGGAGTGGCTGGTGAGTTTGAACCACCGACCTTGCAGTTCAAACTGACCTTGCAGTCCAACGCATTAACCCACAGTACCACACCAGGACTCGGAAATGGGTAGAAATATGGAAATACTATCTTCAGAAGTATATAGACCTAGATGGAAGATATGCTGAGAAAGAATAGCTTTGCGTTTTGATACTTTTGTTCAATAAAAGTTTCTGTGGTTTTGTAGCAATACCTTTAAACGTGCCTTTTATTGTTATTAAATGAATAGCAACACAGTTCTGAACACAATTTAGTATCTTCACAATTTGATTTTTCTGGGCTATATCCTACCATTCACCAAAAATGTATTTCTGATTTTAACTATGTTTTTGTTGCTGTCCAGTTGGTTCTGACTTATGGAGAAACTGCAGAGTGTTTCCAAGGAGTGGCTGCTGAGTTTGAACCGCCTACCTTTTGGTTCAAACTGACCTTGTGGTCCAGCGCTTTATCCCACAACACCACATCTAATATAGAAAATGCCTGTTTTAAACTTACTGTTGGTTATACTATTTCCTGTTCTCTCAACATGACCCCCTGGTTGCGACCTGAATGCCTCCCTTCTTTGACTCTCCTACTTTTTCTAAGAAGCCTTCTCTTCATCCCTACCCTTTGAAAAACGATAAACAGTATTTAAAGTGTTTTTCAAAAGTTACATCATCCTTGAAAAATTTCCTGATTTCCAGTCTGTCCTGACAACTGCTTACCATGAATCCTTTCACAACACCCTGCGCAAACTCTTTCCTCTGCCCAATTTTGAATACCAGCATAATTTTTGTTTGTCCACAAATTTTAGGTTATTTAGAATTATTTTATCTGTTCTTATATTAGCTGAATTTCTGTGTATTTTGCCCAGATATTTAATAACTAATTATTAAAATGTATTTCTTAAGTGTGAAGTCATTTTTAGAATGCACTTGATACAAACCTCATACTTTATAAGTTTCAGGGCCTTGGCCTGAAACAGGCCTTTCAAATACAGTTCTGACCTCTAACCTTTGGCCACACTGAATAAAAATGGTGCATTTGCTTCATGCACTTGGATTCATAAAGCCAAGACCTAAATAGACACATGAACTCTTAATTTCAAGAACAGAATTATGATGATGTAACATGGTATATGCCAGAATGTTTGCTTATAATAGGTTTGTCAACATGTTAAATGTATCTAGTACATTAGCTAATATTTTTCTTTTCTGACACGAAACCTCTCTGGTCCCCATGTGAAGGTGCATGAGTATCATATGAAAGTCAGGGAAGGAGGGCACAAGGAGACTTAAATGTCAACTGCTTCATTTCTCAACTGGGCTTTTCTATTAGCTCTGACCTACCTTTGTATGTCTAGACATGTTCAAATGGCTGAGAAACATAATTTCAATATTTTAGCTATATAAACATCTGAATTCAGTAAAATTGATATTGTATTATCAAAAGTGGAAAGATGGAAACACTAAATATTATTTTATTCTAAATGTTAACATCTAAAATCAGTTTAGCACATTAATTTAATTGAATGAAAGTTCAGTTTTTGTTATTTATATTATTATGTGTATACATTTGGTGGTGGTGATAGTGGTGTGCCTTCATATCAACCCTGTATAGAGTTTCCAAAGCTGTAAATCTTTATTGGAGCAGAAAGCCTTATCTTTCTCCCATGGAGCACCTGATGGACTCGAACTGCTGACCTTGTGGTTAGCAGCCCAATATGTAATCTACTACACAACCAGGGCGCTCTCTCTCTCTCTCTCTCTCTCTCTCTCTCTCTCTCTCTCTCTCTATATATATATATATATATATATATATATATATATATATATATATATATATATAATTTTCATTAGAATAGTTCACTTTAATTTGAATCAGCTGCATGGCAATTTTTAAATTTTGGTCCCAATTAAAAATTTAATCAATTCCCTAATATTTTGCAAAGAGTTAAAAATGAGATAATATTATTTCTCTGTATTTTAATATGTTCTTAGAATCTGAATTTCATATTATCTAACTGTTTTGGAGTCTATATTTATCTGTGAATCTGTGATGATAGCGTATCAAATCATATAATGCCTTTTTAGCTATTGATCGATTCTTAGTTTTTAAATATACCTTTATTTACTGCATAAGTAATTAGTAATCAGTGACTAAACACTTTTGTAGTTTTATTTCCAAACTTGAAATGTGAATACATGAAAAACTTTATGTATTTTTCTTTTATCTTGATATTTTCATTATCATGGAAGTTGGTAAGAAAACAGAATAAAAAGAAGAATATATGTCCAATAGTTAGAAAAAAGAGAATTAATGTTTTAACTAATATAACTAATAAATTAATTAATAAAGTTACTTTAACTGATTTTCATTGCTGCTGCATAATGTAATTTTCTAATTCCTAGTCTATTCCTTTAACTCCTTTTATATTGTTTTCTGATCTATAATGCATTTGAAAATAAACAATTCAGTCTATAGTAGATGGACATGATATTATTTGAACATTCATTACTATAATTTTCATAAAGTAATGTATGAATGTAAACATATAAGATGTCTATTTATTAAATGAATGCAATTATGTCTAAAATAAACTTTGGAGAACATGAAATATGTTATCTTAACTTCTTTTTTTATAAAATTTAACTGCAAAATGATGATTTTGTAGGGCAATTTTCCTTTTCTTTTTCAAATTAACTTGAATACATGTATAAAGCTTTTGGTGAAAGTCACTTTAATATATTTAGCATTGATTTTAGGCAGTATGAGATCAATTTACTTTTGTATACTGTATTATAATCATAAATACTATGCAAGAATTGGTATTGAAATCTGATTGTGATAGAGACTCTTTCTCATGCATACACAAATTTCATATGACTCAATGACACATAACAGCAAGAGCAATATAATAGCCAGTTATTTTTTAATTAAGTATTTACACTTATTATTCTCCTAAATATATTTGTAAAAGTAAAACTATATATAAACTGGTCTCATTTTGAAAAAACATCAAGCAATAATCTGGTCTCAGTTTTTAAAGAAAAATATTTCATTATCAATTTTTAAAGATCTCCATTTGTTGTTATTACGTGCTATCGATCAAGCCAATTCTGACTCATAGCAATTTTGTATAGGGTTTTCAAGGAACAGCTGATAGGTTTCAACCACCAACCTTGTAGTTAGCAGTCTAAAAGTTTGGTGGTTCAAACCTACCAGCTTATCTTACAGTACCTCACCAGGACTTCAAAGATCCCACGTTGTTGTTTAGTGCCGTTGAATCAGTTCCCACTCAGAGTGACCCTATACAGGGTTTCTGAGGAGTAGCTGTTGGCTTTGAAATGGTGACTTTGTGGTTTGAAGTCTAGTGCTAATCCTACAGCACACCAGTAGGTTTACACGAATAAAGAAGCAAATGGTAAATGTCTTTGGGAAGTAGCTTGTACTGCATGGAATAACATATGGAAACTCTTCTTTTTCTTGATTACTAATTCTTTGTTTATGTGCCTAATAGTTTTTCTTTTAATAAAATGCATGAAATGACTAGGTAACAAAATATGTCTTAACATCATATGCTAGGAATTTGAGTATGACCTTTATCTTTAATAATCCTCGTCTTATTTAGTGTGGTGATATTTATCTACAGGATATAACAACTTAGCATGCTTTTGTCTATATTTAATAATCATTTCTTATATAATCCACAGTGATTTGATGCAAACATAGGAAAGGAAAATATTAGTACAATGGAAAGACATGATCCAGATATAATAGGGTGGAAACTGGGTCCTATGTATTAGTAACCAAAATTAAAAATCCTGTAATTACTGTATTTTCCTTATATAATAAAATATAAACTTTAGAATTAAATTATGTATTACATACAGTACATTTTGCAGAAACTGTCCTGCAGTTCTTGAGAAATGTTGGCTATTGTTATTTATTGTGGATCGGTCACACTTAAAGTAACAGTATTTTCTGTTCTGTCCAGTGCAAGACATATGCGTGTGTGTTAGAAAGTCATCTAATGGGACTCACTATTGACTTCAGCACAGGATTTATCTGCTTTGATGCTGCAACAAAGGTAAAGGCTCTATGAAAATGCTGTAGACATTCAACTTAAGGCTGGTTAAACTTTCTTCTAATAACTCCTTGTAGCATCTTAATTGGTTTTCAAGTGTCAATTTTAAATGCCTTATATTCATTGTTGTTGTTAAGTGCTATAGAGTCAATTCCAACTCATAGTGACTCTGATAGGGTTTCTAAGATTGGCTGGTAGGTGTGAACCACCAACCTTGAGGGTAGCATTGAAGCCTAGTGCTTATTCAACAATGCCACACCAAGAGTCATTAATAGAATGTGAATTCTTTAATTGATTTATAGAATGTAAATACTTTGACTTTACAGAAAACAAAAGGTTAAATTGCTATAAAAATACATTATAATAAAGTATTATCACAAAATTAAACTAAGTATACATACTGGTTTTCCTAATGGTTATGGAAAACTTTAATGAGGAAAAAATTTCTTCTGACAAAACAAATTTCCTTTATGATTTTACTGCATCTACAAGATCAAAGCAGGAAAATTGTGCATTCTAATTTTTATAGATAATGTTAGAATTACATGTTGGAGGAATTCAGAGTATTAAATCTGAAACAAAGTTTCTATCAAATAAAACAAGACTTTTATTCAGATTCCAAGATTTACAAATTGAGAAGCGACAAAATGAAAGTTTAAAATGGTGTTGTAGACTTGGAGCATAAACATATGTCGTTTATATTCAATTTTTGCAAGATTTTGCAAATAATTAGGAGGAGTATAGTGGTAAATTTGCTTGATTGACATTCAACATGGTCTCTTACCACTCACTTATCAAGAATTTCTATTTACCACAGTCCTCAAATTTAGTCCCAGTTTCCTGCATTCTTCAGCTGGTTCCTTCTGTTTCTGATAGTGTTCTCAATGGACCACCTCAGAATGCTATAGAACAAGTCACCTTAGTCAAGAGTGTGGTCATGGGACACGTCCAAAAAGTAGAAAAAGGACGTAGGACAAAATGGAGTCTAATTCAAATCTGTTTCAGTCATTTCATTTATGCATACGCCTCAGTTTTAGAGTGCTCTTTCACATTCTACCTTTTGGATCATGAATCTGTCGGGACTTCTTGAAACCATAGTAAAACTGTTTTGTTATACATGGAATTCTCATTGAATTTCTCTTATCATAAATGGAATCTTTCATCAGTCTTTTCACCATGCTCAAGCACTTTGCTTCTGTGATCTTCCAGTTGGGGTATGTATAGAGTAAGGCCACAGATGGAGGAACATCTTAACACTCAAAAGGCTAATGCGAGATGTGAGGTCATTTTTCTTTAGGAACTCATTTCTTACATAAATGACAGGCAGTCATTTCATACAGCTATTAGTAAAAAAAAACAACTACTACAAAAATTATAATAACATTCAAAGTAAGACACTACTAGACCCATGGGAAAACTGGTGCCAAGACACATGGAGATCTCCAAGGAATGCAGGGCCTTCAGATACTGAATGGAGACAAGGAACTTTCTCCTAAATTAACAAAGGTATAAAGCCATATCCTAGAGCTAACACATTGAACTTGGACTCTGGCCTCCTGAATTATGAGAGAGTAAACTTCTTTATGTTAAAGGCACCCACCTGTGGTATTTCTGCTAATAGCAGCACTAGATTTTGAAGACAACCAACTCGTAGGGTAGAATGCAACCAGAAACTAATATCATTGGGCAGCTAACTAATAAAAAAGGTTAGAGGCAGACATAGAAGTCATTGAATGCAATCAAGTAGCTAGCTGGTGAATTTTTTTCTAATGTCTTATTGTATTTTTCCTGAATTTGTCCAGGTGCTGCATGAGGTATTAACAATGGCGTACATCTTTTTTGTTGGGCTAGAAGGAAATAAGAACCCTCCTATTATCAAGTGCAACTTTAGCAAGAGATTTTAAAGACTTCTATTGGGCTAACATTTCATCTGCAATATCATTAGCGATTTAAGTCATTGTAGCAAATAAATCACAAATTGATTTTTCTAAGGTGCGGCATACCATATTGTCTTCTGTTGTTAGGTATCATTGAGTTATATCTGACATATCTGACATACAATATCTTATATAAATGGAATGAAACACTGCCCCGTCCTGCACTCCTCAAAATTGTTGCTAGGTTTAGATCCATTGTTATAGCCACTGTGTCAATTCACCTCCTTGAGGAACGTCCTGATTTTTACTGACCCTCTATTTTACCAAGCAAAACGTCCTTCTACAGGAACTGTTCCCTCCTGATGACATGTGCAACGTACGTGAGACAAAGTCGCATCATCTTCAGTTCTAACGATAATGAGAAATAGCACAGTTGGGTAGATATACTCACAGGAATATTCATTGTATTCCAGGGTTTTGGGTATTGGATTATGCTGTGGCATAAAGTCTCTCTTTTTTTATGGATCAAGATCGTTAAATTACTAGTACAGTGTGGTTGTGTGTCATGGAGTCGGTTTCTCCCATGGAACAGCTGGTAATTTCTACCTGCTTTCCTGAGGTTAGCAGCCTGACTCATAACCACTGTGCTACCAGAGCTCCTTAAAAGATTACGGTTGTTGTTATGTGCTATCAAGTTTTTTCTGACACAGAGTGACCGTGTATAAGGTTTCTGAGAACAGCTGCTAGGTTTGAACTGCCAAATACTTAGCAGTTCAATGCTTATCCTACAGTGTCACACCAGGGGAGTATAGACTTTCAGTATTGTTGTTGTTGTTATTAAGTGCCTTTGAGATAGTTTTGACTCATAGCAACCCTGTATAGGGTATCTGAGGAGCAGCTGGTGAGCTTGAAGCACCAACCTTGCAGTTCAAATCGACCTTGCAGTACAGCACATTAACGTGCAGTGCTACACCAAGACTTTAATGATAAGAGTGGACATTTATAGGGATTCCTATATCTTAAGCATGGTAATAACGAGGCATAAAGTTCATCACGTACATACCCATAATTAGCACAGATCAAGTTATTTCTGTTTATAATTATGTGAGAAGGGAATGGCTTGAATGACTTACTCAAACCAATTTTCTGTTAAATAATTATTACAAATGGACAACTGTTTCATCCTTAGTATTAGAATCTAGTAATGGAAAGTTGCTTATATCTGTTATTTTCCTTTAGGCAAGCTAGTAATTTCATAGCTTATACTGGGGAATTTATTAAATATCTGGTAGTTAGTGGTTATGTACTCTGGAATTGGTTCTGATTCATAGTGACCTGTATAAGATTTCCTGTACATCTTTACGGGAGCAGAAAGCCCCATCTTTCTCCCGCAGAACAGATGGTAGTTTTGAACTGCTGACCTTGGGTTAGCAGCCTAACTTGTAACCACTATGCTACCAAAGCTCCTTATTAAGTACCTAAAGGGCTCTATATGTTGGACTGGAAGGCATTTTGGCAAATATGCTAAAGAAAGATTTATTTCATCCTAGAAAAATACCTTTATGATTTAGGTTAAAGTATGGTACCTGAGGTTGGTCTAGCAATGCAGGGAGAAGTCACAATCTGATATTTATGATTCATTTTGAACAATTCCATTAGTACCTTCTACTAATCCAGAGGCCTGTACAGTATACAAAACTTAGAAAGATTTTTTAATTTCTTTAATAACCTACCCAGTAAAATGAATCCTTATTTTACTGTGGAGTGAAGTAGGGGTACTGAATATATTATTCTCTAGTACCCTCTTTGAAACAAAGGTAACAGTTGCTTTTTTGAGAGAGCTAAGCTTCAAACCAAGAGACTACAAATAAGTAATTACTTAATCACATGTATATTCCATAGAAGGAGGAAGCTTAAAGAATGAAATGTATGTGGCATAGTTGCCTTTAAACTCACATATAGAATAGGTTTCTTATTTGACCCTATCAGTAACCTCTACCACTAGTCTGTCAGTTTGCTACACTGTATTGCTATTATTGCTGTAGCTATTTCACCAGTATTTTAAATACTAGCAGGGTCACCTTCAGCAGACCTTCCAGATTAAGACAGAGTAGGAAAAAGAAGAGGCAGATAACTTCTCAATGCTTAGACACAGAAAACTTTATGAAAAGCAGCATGGCATTGTATGATAAAATGCTGGAAAACGATAACATTATGAAGAGCAGCAGAACATTGTCAGATATAGTGCCAGAAGATGAGTACCTCAGGTTGTAAGACACTCAAACTATGACTGGGGAAGGTTTGCCTCTTCAAAGTAGAGCTAATGATAATAAGAGGACAGAGTAAAGATTTCAGTAACTTCATTTGCTGATGGGGGACGAGTCAAAATGAGAGAACAGCTGCAAACATACATTAATAATTAGAACATGGAATACATATGAACATATGAAAATCTTTAGTCAAAAATGAAATGGAAGTCATAAACATCGATACCCTAGGCATTAGTGAGCTGAGCTGAAATTGACCAATTTGAATCTAACAATCATGTGGTTTACTGTGCCAAAACGACAAATTTAAGAGGGATGGCACAGTGTTCATCATCAAAAAGAACATTTCAAGGTCGATCTTGAAATACAGTGCTGTCCACGATTGGATAATATCTGGACACCTGAAAGGAACAGGAGTAATCTCCAATGTTATTAAATTTACACACCAACCACTAAAGCCATGATAATGAAATTGAAGAAGAGTATTAAATATGCCATGATTTGCCAGAACAAGTGCAGACAGAATGTTCCTTAGAAGTCAGAGTGGCGATATGAATTTTATTAAGTAATGATTTATGTGTACTCTCATTTTCCAGCACCATATCAGACAATGTTATTTCATCTCCATATTTCAGACATAGTATCAGGAGGACCAGTCCCTGAAAAGGGACAACATGCTTGGTAAAATGGATGGTAAAAGAAAAAGAGGGAGACCCAAAACAAGATGGATTAGCACAGTGGCAGCATCAATGGCCTCAAATGTAAAATCTGTGAGAAACACAGAGCACTGTTTCATTCTGTTAGGAATAGGGTCACCATTAGTTGGAGCTGAATGGATGAAACCTAACAACAACAAAAT